GCTGTCATTTGACATTAACCAGCCTCGACAGTTTCCTCTTCCCTCTCCGTGGTCACTGTTATCCATGATGTCATAAAATTTAAAATACATTTTATTTTAAAGCATCCAGTTTCTTTTTAGTCTTCAGAGGGAGGAAAAAAATCAAGAATTTGGAAACTTTTGATTAACAGTGATATATGGTGCTGAATGACCTGGATGTGGAGGTGTTCTCAATCCTCATGTAAAAATAAAAACACATTTTGTGCAAAAAAAAAAAATCAGCCACAAACCTCAAATTACAAAGATGTCAGATCCTGATGATGACAGGCTTGTTTGGCTTTTATCTTTTCCTCCTCGCTCAACTCAGAAGCAAAGACTTGCAAAAAGAAAGCCACAAGACTTTTAGATGTTTTTTTGGGGAAGCAAGAACAGCGATAATAATAAAAAAATGAATAAAACAAAGTTTTTTTTTTCAATATCTGAGGCAAAATCCTCCTAAATTTTTTATCTTGGTTTCAGGCCTCCAAACTAAAATTTGCTGTGATTTCAGAGGAGTGTGAGGCTCTGCAATGTTAATCAGAGGGAGGCAGAGTGAAAGGAAAGTGAGGAAGGGTCAAACAGCAGCCGGGCTTCAGATGGCCACGCCGAGGAGGTGAGGCACCTTTGAAGTGCAGGAAGTCAGAGACCAGATTCTCTTTTTTCTGCTTTTCTTCAGCGGATTCGGGCCTGACAGATCTCTCAGAAGCGGTGCTYGTGCACCGCGCCAGGCCTTTGAAAACCTGCACACATCTTCATGACCTGCAGGCAAACAGGGGCGACTTCATCTTCGGAGCTAAACTCAGACCCTGCAGGTCCACATCTCTGCATCCTGTTTGACTGGGACAGAAGTCACAAAGCTGTTTATGCATCAAACAAAATCAGATGTGTSACTCTGAGCTGGTGCAAAAAGTTTAATTTTGAAATGTGGGTCCTCACTCAATGTAAACAAAGCCGAACCTGCTCAAATGAACCTGGAAGCTCAAACTGTGTGATTGACCTACATTAGTTTGGTAAATTGAACTTGTTCAAAGGGACTAAAAATATTCAAACGCAGGTTGTAGTTGGCATAAATTTAGCTGTAAAAATAGTTCATTTAAGGCCAAATCATCCACCAATAATATGAAAAAAAATCGGTTCTGTTTTATGGTTTTTATTTTGTCTGGTTTTGCAACAAATACTTTTAATGTCGTTCAGTCAAATCCAACATAAAACAGAAAATTTAATCTCAAAAACTGGGATTTTTGGTGTATTTTTAAAATAAAAATGTGACTAAAGTTGAATTTTTTTTGACCTGTCTGCTGATCCAGTGATTAGTTCAGACATGAGTCAAAAAAAAGGTTTATTTTTCCCATTAGTGGTTTCTAAGAACAATCCAAGTGAGGGGACTTTTATTTTGAAATTTAACAATATGCCAGTAGCTGCATCAGGAAACTGAAACTTTTGAGAAGGTTTTGTGATGATTAATGAATCGTAAAACAAAGTTCTGCTCTGTTGGGTTCGAGGAAAGAGACTGGACTGACTGAGAACATCTTTTAGGGAAATGATGTCAAACTTCAGAGGAATCATGCTCCTCTGCTCTCTCTGCTCCGCCGAGTTCAGACACTGATCTCGATGGTTTTTCAGAGAGGAAACAAACAATCCTTTGATTCAGTTTGCTCCCTAGAATAGCAGAAGCTTCTGAAATCAAACGCTTCACTTTCGTATTTCTATCAATCAAGATGAACTCATCTGATGGACAAATATTCAGGTTTAAGAGGATTTGTAATCATTATCTCCTTCCTAAATCGCTCAAACAGGTCATGTTTTAGGGAAATGATTCAACAAAATAAATGTGAGGTGCTTAGATAAAGCCACATTTCACCACATTCAGGTTAAAAATGTAAAAAAAAAAAATCACAAGAATCGATTGTTTTAAACAGCAGTTTGATCAGAGCAGGATGGCACTGAATGTTTGGAAGGTGTGTTYATTCGTTTTCGCTGTCTGAAAGCAGAAGTTGGGCCTATTTCAAGGTTTTGATGATATGACCAGTCATTTCCTGTTCAGCTGCCTATATGTGCCTGTGCAGCTTTTCGCAGAAACATCTAGAGCCAATATTTTCACTCAGCTAAACAAGCACTTCCTCTTTTCGTGCAAAAAAAAACCTCCTAATAAAGGAGCGTTCGAGTCCACCGCCCTCTGAGMCGCAGGCCCTGAAAACCGAGTTATTTTTCACCGCTTTCTATATTTGGCTTCACAAAACAGAAAAGTGACTACAAGGTAGAGCTAATTAGATGTTCGGCTGATAAATCTAAGAAGAAATGAACCGAACCCACTGAGTTTCATATCTGAAGGCACATGTTTATTTTTTTCTTTGGTCTTTTCTTGATCTTTCGTTTTTAAAAGAGTCAACCACATATTTTTATTTTTTTTCCTGCTCATCCAGCAGCGTATTTTTATTCAACTGCATGTTTGTCCACAATAAGTACTATTTTTGTGTCAGTTTTAATCAAATTGACTAAAAATAACCGTTTCCAGGCGTTTGAGCGTCATGTTTGCTGCTACCATTTTGTGGATTTGTAGGAATTTTTCACTGAAATCAAAAGTCGCAGGATTAAAAATACAAACAGAGCTCGTCACATTAGGGGGAGACCGGGGACAGTTGCAACACTTTTTTGCATTTGACTCTGTTACTCAGAGACGGTTTGAATTAGACAAACCAAATTTTAATACAATAAACTTACATCTGTCTGTTAGTAGTCAAAACCATTTAGAGATGATTAAAGGACGTACATWCTTCACAATTTGCATTTGAAAATGAAGTCCCGGGGACAGTTGCAACATTGTTTGGGGGTGGTTACAACATATTATTAATATGATGTATTTCACTGTAAATAAAAATTTTATTATTTTTATATTTCTATTATTGCTAAATTAATAAAAACTAAGTTATAATGACATTACAGTGTTATTTATTTATTCTTTTTGATCAAATGATGAATATAGATTAGTCTTGATGAGTAGACCTTATATACAGATGTCAAAGACTCTAATTGATATAAAATGCAGTTGACTTTTTGAGACAAGGATAATAGAAAAATTTGTGAGGCAGTTAACTTTTGTTTTGTCTATTGTCACTGTACGCCTACATTATGTAACATTTACATTGAAATAAACTGGGATTTTAAAACCATTGTTGAAAACAACAACTGCAGAAAATACATCTTAAACACTTTTATGTTTTAAACTATAAAATTGTCATGAATACCCAATACCCTTTTAAGTGTAAACTTAATTTCAACATCTTAATCTCATCTGTATGTGCTCTGTTTTTTTATGGATTTATCGCATGGGGACAGCTGCAACAACTGTTGCAACTGTCCCCCTTCCTGTCAGCCATGATAAAACCCCATCACGTGTTAGCTAAATAAGCTSATCTGGATACATGTTAACTAGATTAGTTAAAAGTCAACATATCACTTGTACGTTTGAGCTGGATCACAAAAACAGTGACAACAGCATGACAAAAATAAAGCTGGGCAAAAAAAAAAAAAAATACTTTTATTCCTCGAAAACTGTTTTTTTCTCTTCAAATAAATCCTGGAGCAGTTTTTGAATCTGCTTMCTTTTTCTTTACAAGRTGGGACATCTAACTGAGCATGTACAGTGTGAGTGTCATCACTCTATGTTTCTGTTTGGAGAAAAATGACGTGTTGCAACCRTCCCTTGTTGCTACTGTCCCCGGTCTCCCCTACTCAGTCCAGAGAGAAAAACGTGTTTTTTTAT